AGAGAGAGAGAGAGAGAGAGAGAGAGAGAGAGAGAGAGAGAGAGAGATGGAGAAAGGGGGAGAAAGAGAGATAGAGGGAGAGACAGAAACATGCTAGTCAGCTGTCATCTGTGTCCTTTTTCTTACTGGGACTCATTGCTTCTATTAGAGGACCTTGTCAGGAAGCATGAACCACTGTGGGAACAGGGGCAGATGTGGTCATGGTTTATACAAAGCAGCAATCTCCCTGTGCCAGGCTTGCTGGCTGCCTTTGACCAAGGAGAAGACTATTCCCTATGTGATGAGGCAGGCTGTCAAACTGTAGCACTGTTGACGAGTGAAACTATTGCTGGGAAAAGTTCTTGATGTCATTTTGACATCACTCTTTTCCTATCTTTGTCAAATTCCTCTGGTCTAGAACTCTTGACAGTAGTTTCTGGCAGTACATGCCTGCTACTCAGTGTCCTTATGGATTTTCCTTTTCATCATCTTCACCCCTAACCTCTGCTCGTCTTTCCCACTCACTTCCCCACCATCTTACCATCAATTGCCAAAGTCTTGCTAGTTTCTAGAAAGTCTTTCTGGGGACTCCTCTTTATTCCAGTTGATTTAGTGAGGTGAAAGGGCTGAAGGGACAGTTGAAGGGGTTTTGGGAAAGTAACAAACATCAATAGGGAAAAGAGGAAGAAAACGAAAGAATATATTGTATGGGACCCAATGAGCATACCCGATAAAGGTCTGATAATTCATAGGATTCAGAGCAGGAAGGTCATCTTTTCCAATTTCCTAACCACTCTTCTCATTTTATAAAGGTGAAACTGAGTTCATGAGGGCAAGTGACTTACCCAAGGTCACCCAGCTAATAAGAGACAAAGCCAGGGTTCAAACTCAGCTCTTCTTACTCCAAATCCAGTACTCTCTCCTCTAGAATACATTGTTTTATTAGATCAATAAACATTTATTAATTAGTGCTATGTGCCAATGCCATGACTAGGGTGGGAGTGAGTAGGACTTTATCTAAATTTAGAGGACACTCGAAGCTCCAGTAGAACAGCATAGAAATAATTTAGCTAGGAACCCAGTTAACAAGAATAATTAGTTAAATTTGAAAACCCCTAGAATGTGAGCTTCAAGGTGGCTGGCCCCCAGGCGAGCTCTTCTCTGACCCCAACTCTGCTCCTTTCCCCCTCAACTAAATTGAGGGCACATTCGTTCTACTAGTCAGGGTCCCTGTGTAGACAAGATTAGGGGTTTCCTAGGCATAACATGGGTTCTGCCTGGTGACTCTTGGGCAGGCTTCAGAAGGGGCATTAAGAACGGAAGCGAAGTGTGAGAGGGAGGGGGAAAGTTGGTGAGAAGGGGAAAGCTAGTGTGGGTGAGGGACCGAAACTGGGGATCTAAACAGGGGAGCAGGTGAGGGTGAAAGGGAGAAAGGGGGTGAGGGTGAAGGGGAGACGTAGAGAGGATAGGGAAGGGAAAGCTGGCGACAATATATAGGTGGAAAAGTTGGAGAGAATGGGGGCGGGGAAGCTGGACCGGAGTGAGGAGGGGAAAGGTGGAGTGGGGAAGAGAGGAAAGCTGGTGAATGTTAGGGAGGCGGAGGGAAATTGCCGAGAGGGACAAAACCCAAAGCTCTCCCTTGCAGTCTCAAGGCCTGCGGACGGCCTCTCCTCGGGGAATTCGGGTGCCCCCTGGAGGTAGATGCTCCCACACCCCTAGAGTAATAATGGGCTCATTTCCAACCGCCTGGCGGGCTGTGGGAGTGGAAGATCTTCCCCCAGCCTCTTCTGACACCGCACACCTTGCCCCGACAGGGCGATCAGGGAGGCAAGCGGACGCCCGTCGGTGTGCACAGAGACTCCCCCAAGCTGGGCCGGAAGGATGATCTCCCTATTCCACTCCACCTGGGCCCTCTCCTCGCCCCCAGGGCCCCAGGGCCCCGGTCTGTCCAGTCTCCTCATTCTCCTCACATGTCGCAATCCCTCTTCACCCCTCATCCCTCCATTCTCTCACATCCCCTAACTCCTCTCATCCCCTTCCTTTCAAGCCTCTCGTGGCTTTTCAAGTTCAGCCCCCCACTCTCTCGGATCCCTTGGTCTCTGAGCCTCTCACTTCCTTAGTTCTCCAGTCCCCTTATCGCTCCCTTTACAACCCCCTCCCCAGTCTCCTAATTTTCTCACTCCCCCTAGCCTCTCTTACCGCCCCCCCCTTCCACCCTCCTTCCCAGTCTCCCCAGCCTGGCCAAGGGGCGGGGCCGCGAGGAGAGCTAACCTCCTCGTCCTCCGGTTCCCCCCCCAATCACCCTCCCCCCGCCCTCCTACTGGTCCCGGAGGAACCGAGCCCGCCCTCCGGGGAGGGGGGCGGGGCCTAGGACCTGAGCATAAAAGGCATGGGGTCGCGGGGGCCGCTCCTCACTCGCAGCGGGCTGCTGAGACCTGCGGCGCATCCTCTCGCTCCGCTCAGCTCCAGCCCGACGGGATCCCCTGCGCGGACTCGCCGAGAATCTGAGGCTCCGGGGAGGTGAGTGCTCGCCTGCCATACCTTTCCGACCCTTCATCGAGTCTCTGAAGTGCGTTTCCATCCGGAGGACTGAGATCTCATTCATTTCCTCCCCTTCTAATCAAACACTAAGGTCTCTTTGCTTTTAGACAACTTAAAATAGCAGTCGGGGGCAAAAAGCAGTGGGAGGAAGGCTGGACGTTGAGCTGGAAGACCCCCGCTTCAAATCCTGCTCTGCTGCTTATCCCTGTGCCTCAGTTTCCTCATCTGTAAACTAAATGGCCTCTTTCAGCTCTAAATCCATGGTTGCACTTTCGCTTAAAGTTTTCACTGTGGCACATAGTAACAAGAACACTAGTTCAGGTTTTTATAGAACTTTACAGTTTCCAAAGTCAATGGTAGAAAGTGCCTGGGCTGTAGTTCTTAATAAATGCTTCTTGACTGCTTATCCCCATTTCACAGATGAGACTCAGATTAAGTCAAATGACTTTTAGGATCTTAGCCTCTAGATTAGGAAGGGACTGGTAAGGTTTAGAGTGTTCTCCTGACAGTCCTGGAAGATAGGCAGTGTAAGCTTTATTGCTCCTGTTTTGCAAATGAAGAAACTGAGGCCCAGAGAAGTAAAAATCACCTGTCCAGAGTCCTAGAGCTAGTAAGTATCAGGGTTGGGATTCAGACCTAGGACTTTTGCTTTCCAGAGCAGGTCTGTTACCCGGATACTATCATCTAATCCAAGCCTTTTGTTTATCTGGGGAAACTGAGGCACAGAGAAATTAAATGATTTAGGATCATAGAATTAGAACCAGATTACCTTAGAGGTCATCTGAATCAAATCCCTCATTTTACAGGGGAGGAAAATGAGGCTCAGAGAGCTTTATCAAGATCACACAGGTAGCAAGTCACAAAGGCAGGATCTGAATCTACAGCTGGCACCCTTTGCATTAGACCACGTGTGGTTGTAGGAAGCATTCAGATGGTAGTGAGGATGGTGACATGGTTCTGTGCATTCAGATGTGTGGAGAGATGGGTGGGCACATATGAATGATGTATGTCAAAGTGTCTACCCATGTATCAGGGTCCTAGAAGGCTTTGAGTGAATGAATTAAGCTGTCATTGTTAGCGTCTATCATCAGTAGATGCTCTGGGAACATCTGCTGTGTGCTAGCTGCTGGAGAGGCAAAGAAATCTGCTGATGGGCTGAGGAGAGAGACTATGGACATGCAAAGATCTATTATGGTGTAAGGTAATATAGGCTAAGTCTAGGGCTGTTTCTATGGTCATTAACTGACATAAGACTTCAAAGGTAGCAGGGATCATCACCAAGGGCTGGCACCTAGAAAGTTTCTTGGGGGAGATGGGACTTAAGCTGGGCTTTAGAATAGAATAGAGTAAGACTTAGGTAAGTTACCTTAATTTAAAATCAGCTTGAATTCTGGACAAGCTGTTGCTCCTTTTTTTGCCTTCATAAAACAGAGTGTTCTTGTGTAAATGACAGTCTTCACTTTCAACCAGTGCTGAATTCAAACCTTGTACGATGTTTGGCCACTCCTATGTGGAGTATGTATATTTGGGTACAAACCTACCCACTTACCATGAGGCTCAGGGCTTCCACAGAGTACATTCTCTTGGGTTTTCATTAGTTCTTTTGTGTGAAATGGGTGGATTAAGTGGATCCTTGCCCAGAGTGGTCACTGTGAGCAAAGGGGGTACCTATGCCAAAAGAGACATTGCTGGGGATTTACACATGGTACTCACACTGAAGGTACCTGGAATTTTGCCTCCAGAAGTTCAGCAGTTCTGAATGTTGTATGGGCATCCCTTAGTGCCTCCTGCCTTCTTTCTCTCCCTTTTCTATACCCTCACTTTCACCCCCATCCAATTTGAGGGACACTTCTGATGGCACCAGCTACCGGAGCATGCCAGTGTGGTGTTGGGAAAAGAGCGCTAGATTTGGAATTGGAGTATCTGAGTTTAGCCACTTATTACTTGTTGAATCTTAGAATCGGGGCCCTTCCCCTTGAAAGTCTTGTAAATAATAATTAAGTATAGCTGGGGATCTGACCGGAATTTATAAAATAAGAAATTTAGCCTAGATGACTATGAAATGCTCTCTCTGCAGATTTAGGATCTATGATTGTCACTCAACCGAGCAGAATTTTGTAGGGACCCAGTAAATTAAGATTTTCACACAGGGTAGATCTGCTGTTCTGAATGGGGGTCAGGGGAAAGAGGGCAGAGCCTGAAGTGTTTTGGGAATGGGGGGGTGTAAGGAATACAATTCTGCCACACACTCCGGAAAACCTACAACCCTGCCAGGAGGGTCTGAGTTTAGAGAGACTTTGAAAGGAAGTAACTGGTGCACTTGGAAGTGGGTGGAGCAACAGAATACTGGATTTGCTTAGAGAACTAATCACATTCATTTCATTTCCCCAAGAGGAGAAAATGCCACTCCTGTGGGTCATCCCACCTGGGCCATTGTGTTAAGTTTGGTGATTGATGTTTGGGAAGGGGACCCCTCGCCGAATGGTGACCTTTCTTGTCTCGACGGATCTGGAAAATACCTTGACTTTGTCACCAGCGGTGATTTGTTCTGTATGTGAGGTGCCTCTGTGTCTGACTGCTTGGGGCCCAGGAGACCATTTCTGCAGACTCATTGGTTTCTGATCAATCCCAGATGTGCGAGAATGGCATCACTCAGTTGGGGCTGATGGATTTTAAAGGAAGAAAAATACAGTCTGGGTATTTTTTTTTCAGTTTGTTCAGCTGAATAGATGCTCATAACTTCATATGACAGGAATCTGAGAGCATCCATTAAACCCTCAAACTAAGCACATCTTGTTCTGGCGTGGGGAGGGGGTCAGGAGTAGGAGAGGGAGGGATTTCGTTCCTTCTCCTTCCCTTTCTTGCCCTGGAAGCTTCATAACGACAGTCCCAGTGAAAACCTGACGTCTTGGGGGAGGTGTTTGGGTTCCCTGCCTGGGTCCCACTGCTTTGAGCAGAGAGAATAGATCTCCCGCTGCTGCCCTGTTGCCCCCGTAAGCCTTTCTTTGTGGCTCTGGCTGGGTAATCCTGGTCAGTGCCAGAACAGACTCAGCTTCGCCAAGGACTGTGCCTTGTGTTCTGGGGAGATGACCTTTTGGTTTAGTCTTTCAGAGAGGGAGATTTATCTTCCCTAGATTGCTACAAACCACAGCTTTAGAAACGTGCCTCTGCTGGGATTGAGCAACCTCCAGACAGTGTATTTTTCAAATGCCATTTACTGTGGGAGAGGTAGTCTGGCACAATAGATAGAGGAGCAGACTTGGAGTCACCAAGACCTCATGCATTTCCTAGCTCTCTGACCCTGGGAGAGCCTTTCTGAGGCTTAGCTTAAAGATGGAAATGATAGAGGCTGCTAGGTGGCGCAGTGGATAGAGTACTGGCCCTAGAGTCAGGAGGTCCTGAGTTCAAATCTGGCCTCAGACCAAACACTTGACACTTACTAGCTATGTGACCCTGGGCAAGTCACTTAACCCTGATTTACTGCCCCCCCCATGGGAATAATAAGAGACTCTGCCTCACAAAGTATTTGTAAATATCAAATGAGATGATCTGTGTAAAGTGATGCACAGACCTTATGGTCAGCTCCTGTTATTTTAGAGGGCTAGGCTTGAAGTCAGTAAGACCTGAGTTCAAATCCTGCCTCTGGTACATACTGACTAGGCCAGTCACTTAACTTTTCAGTACTGTCAGGCAACAGTTTAAAGAGGACCAGTTACAGACAGGTTGTGTGTCTGCCTGCCCGGTTTCAATACTGGGAGAGCAATGAAATCATAGGGCTGGATTGCAGATGCTGAAGAGCCCTTCTCTTGAAACAACTATGACCTAGAAATCTCCATTTCTGGGAAGCCTCCCTTACTCTCGGCACAGAATGGCAATGTCTCCAAAAAGGTCAGTCTTCTATTTTGGTTTCTTTTAAAGTATTTTTTTTTTAAAGAAATGTCAGAGCTAGTTCAGCTGAAGGTACCACGTGAATGGAAAAGACCCATTTCTACTTGGATTAGGTCAGGACCTTCATATCCACCCTTAAAATTTGATGAAGCATAAGGATGGTCACATCCTAGGAGCCCTGTCACTCAGCCCCTGTGCTGAATAATCACCCTGGGCCTTAGTTTCTTCACCTGTGAAATGAGGCTTCCCACTCTCCTTTGATCCTCCCCCACCCTCCATATCTAATCAGTTGCTAAATATTATGACAGCTAGGTGGCAAAGTGGAAAGAACGCCGGGTTTGGAGTCAGGAATTCCTGAGCTCACATTCGTCCTCAGATACTTACTAGCTGGGTTACCCTGGGCAAGTAATTTTACCTCTGCCTGCCTCAGTTTCCTTAACTGCAGCATGAGGGATAATCACAACATATACTTTCCCAGGGGTATCAAACCAGACCACTGTAAAGGGCTAGCATAGTGTTTAACACATAGTAGGTACTTAATAAATGCTTATTCCCTCCCCCTACCATCAACCTGTACTCCACCTATTGTCCACCTATACTCCAGCCTAGGTCAGGCCCTCATCACCTCTTGCCTAGACTATTACAATGGTTTCCTAATTGACCTTCATGCACTTGTCCCCTACAGTTGCCAAATTTATATGTGTGTATGTGTGTGTGTGTGCATGTGCATCTATATCTATATGTATATATGTATGTATACATATGCGTATATGCACATATACATGCACGTGCATGTATGTGTATGTACACATATGCACACATATGTACATGTTTTTTTTTTAAACTGAGTCTCTCTATCATTCCCAGACTGGAAGCAGAGTGGCTGTTCCATTTCCAGCCTGGGCAGATTGAGCTGTCCTTAGGCAGCCTGGTGGCCTCCCAAACCTAGGGGTTCACCGTATTGGAGCTAGACTTTGTGTGGGCACATAATAATAATAGGGAGCATTTATATATATAGCACCTACTATGTGCCAGGCACTGTGCTAAGCACTTTACAAATGGCTCATTCGGTCCTCGGATCTGAGCTCATG